CCTATATAAAGAAGGTTATGGCCTTATCCTCAACCACCATTTGAGTGAGTGAAACCCTAAAAGAGATCCAACCTTCGTTCTAAGCTTATGTGAGTGTTTTTGGAGCTAAAGTGCCTTTGTGTGTTAGTAAGGAAGAAGAGGAGATTCTTGTGAAGGCTAGAAGTTGGAGTGCAAGCCTTGAATCTGAGTTCTACAGAGGGAAGAGCTTCACTTGGAGGTATAAAGCTCAAAGCTTTCCTTATTATTTTGATTTGTGCTTCATGGACCATTTCTAGGGTTAAAGTCCCAAAGGTGGAGACTTTATGAGCATAAAGGACTCCATAGACCTAGATCTGTCCCTTTTCAGTGATATATGAGTTATAGATCCATAAAGCTTCCATCTTGGTCGTTGTTATGAAGTCATGCTTGAGTTATGAGCTTTCTAGAGTTGGGAAATGGAATGTTATGGGTGTTAGTGACTTGTCCAGCCATGCAAAGGCTTAAAGTCACCAACTTTATGGATTAAGAGGTTTAGAAAAGGTCAGATCTAGAAGTTGGATGTGAGTCTTAACTGATTAAGACCCTAAAAGCTAAGAAGTCTGAAACTGGGAATTACGCTGGGCGTAATCCCAGTACGCGCGGCGTAGGGGGTTGCATTCCCCGATTCTGTGAGGTTGCCGGGTACGCCCAACGTACAGGTTTGGTACGCGCAGCGTAACCCGGAGAGTTGACTTTTGTTGACTTTTAGGGTTTTGGTCAACATTTGGACTTTGGGTCAGGGAGGGGAAAAATGGTCTTTTACCCTTCTGTGGGATTGTAGAAAAGGGATGTAGTCTAGCCTTGAGAGCCGTTAATGATTTGAAATAATTACTTTATGTGATTAGGCGGGGCTAGGTCGTTGTTTCGAGATTCAGGGATATCGACCACGTGAGTTACTAGACATCATACGAGGTGAGTCTTCTCACTATACATTACCTAGAGTGGTATCTATGTGTAGACCGGAGGGTCTTGTATGCTATGTGTTGTATGAGATTATGTGCATTGTGATATATGTATGCTATGTGTTGTACAGACCGGACCGGAGGGTCCAACGATATAGACCGGACCGAAGGGTCCAATGATACAGACCGGACCGATGGGTCCAACGAGCTATGACTGGACCAGAGGGTCCGACGAGCTACGGGACTGGGGGGGTCCTACTGAGACACATCGACCGAAGGGTCGTATTATAGCCTCGAGTGGCGTATGTGTTGTATGTGGTATTTGGGGAACTCACTAAGCATTTATGCTTACAGTTGTTGTGTTATGTGTTTCAGGTACTAGCAAGGATTGCGGGAAGGCGCCGGCATGATTCGTACACACTGAGAGGATTTATGTATATGAGATCTTGGGACATGTTTTGTTTTGTTACAGTGGACACATTATGTTTTGATGATTATCGTACGAATGAAAGTATGTTTTAAAATAAAAAATTGTTTTGAAAATTCATGTTGTTACACAATAGCTACATTTCGGTGAAATTGAGCAATCTAAGGTCAAATTCTTTCCCTAATTTCTATTCTTCATGTGTTTTGATGTTAGTTTTAGCATTGAAACCTGATTGTAACATTGATTTATATGTTTTCTAATAATTTGTTTGGTTAGTGATTTTGAGGGTCGACCAAGCCCTTTTGTTATGCTGTTAGATTATGATTTTTGAGTGATTATATATGTTTTCTCATACTTATGCAACCTATTGTATAATTGTTTTGTGTTTATGCTCATTGTAGTGTATTGTAATGAAAATGGAATTAGACATGGTTTGTGTGATTTTGTATTTAGGTGTATACTTTTCTATGAAATTGAAATTGGATGTCTAAAAGGGTAGGATTGTATGAAATTGGATGTATTGATTAATTGTTTAAAATTGGAATTTGAATTGGATGTATTGTATGTTTAATTGTATGAAATTGGAATAATAGCAACTTACTTCTAGTAATGTATTGTATATACATGTATGATTATGTGATATTTAGGATTAATAGTTTGGTTTAATTAGGTTATTAATAGCAACTTACTTCTAGTAATGTATTGTATATGGTTTCAAAGTGCTTAATTTTGTTAGTGACTTAATGTTGGTCATTACAGCTTTAGCTTAATTAGGTTATTAATAGCAACATACTTCTAGTAATTTTAATTTAATTATAGAATAAAATTAAATTAATTTTAAATAAATCAATAAAAAAATAATAAATTAATTGTAAAATCAAATTAAATTAGTTTTAAAATCAAGTTAATATTAATATTAAAATAAAATAAAATTAGTTTAAAAAATTAAACTAATAACAAAAAAAAATATTAAATTAATTAGAAAATCAAATTATGTTACCTTTAGAATCAAATTAAATTTATTATAAAATCAATTTAATATTAATATTAAAATAAAATAAAATTAATTATAAAATCAAATTAAATTAATGTTAAAAAAATTATTAACAAAAAAGAAAATATTTAATTAATTATAAAATAAAATAAAGTTAATTTTAAAATCAAGGTGCTTAATTTTGTTAGTGACTTAATGTTGGTCATTACAACTTTAGCTTAATTAGGTTATTAATAGCAACTTACTTCTAGTAATTTTAATTTAATTATAAAATTAAATTAAATTAATTTTAAAAAAAATCAATAAAAAAATAATAAATTAATTGTAAAATCAAAATAAATTAGTTTTAAAATCAAGTTAATATTAATATTAAAATAAAATAAAATTAGTTTAATAAATTAAACTAATAACAAAAAAGAAAATATTAAATTAATTAGAAAATCAAATTGAGTTACTTTAGAATGAAATTAAATTAATTATAAAATTAAATTAATTATAAAATCAAATTAAATTTATTATAAAATCAAATTAATATTAATATTAAAATAAAATAAAATTAATTATAAAAACAAATAAAATTAATGTTAAAAAAACTAATAAAAAAAAAGAAAATATTAAATTAATTATAAAATAAAATTAAGTTAATTTTAAAATCAAAGTGCTTGATTTTGTTAGCGAGTTAGTGTTGGTCGTTACAACTTTAGCTTAATTAGGTTATTAATAGCAACGCACTTCTAGTAAATAAACAAAAGTATGATGTTATAATTAACAAAATTATGATACTTTTGTTAATTATAACATTATAATTTTGTTATTTTCTATCATAACATCGTACTTTAGTTTTAAGTTTTTTCTTCATAATCATCAAGAGCCTAGAAATACCCATCTGAAATTGATTTAGAAATTAATTTCGGGTTGTCCCCATTTTGGGATTGATTTTTGAATACTTTATCTCATTTAGGATGTGAACATGTATTACATGATTGTTTGTTTAAGTAAGATTCGGTTGTCATGTTCTCTTTGCTCCTCGGGTATATATTTATATATATGCTTAGGACCTAAGGGGGAATGCTGCCTAATTTTTCTTAAACATACAATCATGTAATACACGTTCACATATGAGATAAGGTATTCAAAAAGTGGGTTTAGAAGCCTACCTTTGTGAATACTCTATCCATTTCTAATTATTTGTTCATGTGTTCCCGTGTTGGGATACTTTGTGAATCATCGACTTTATGAATACTCTACTTGATTTTTGTTTCCCGTAGAGTAAACCTTAAACACTAAATTATGTTTCAGTTGCATCATGTCTATTGATAAAAGCTGGACTACTAATCCACATCGTCAATCTCCCGAGTTCTAGCTTTGACTCGACTCTTTTGTCCAGAGATCCATGTTACACCTAGATTGTAAAGGTGAAACCAGATGTCCGTGTGAGCAATGTGATAATCGTTACTTCATGGATCCGAAAGCAATGAGACGTCATGTTCGTATATATGGTTTCAGTAGGTCATACGGAACGTGGCTATATCACGGTGAACCTTTAATTCATTCGGTTGTAGATGTCGTGTCGCCAAGTAACGAGATGACTGATGTTATTGACGATGTTATGTGGGAGTCAAGAGAAAATGATACCAACATCGATGAAGGAACCTCGAATACAGGGGGTAGCGGTGTAATTTTGACAATGTTATTGGCTATCATAATTTTGACAACGGATCCCATAAGAATTCAACAATTAAGCACGCTCATGAGGTGAGAGTAGTGGTAGATGTATTGAACCCTAGGAAGTACTCATGGGGAGTAGCCTAAGACGGACAATATCTTGATACATGCATCTCAGACATTAAAAATGATATCATAGTTCAGTTCTATTTGTCTGATACTAGCATGATAGTTTATACTTTTCATTACTTTTCCAACAATCACTCTTTTTTATAATGCGGCTATTTGACAATGTACTTTGTTAACATGTATATTGATGATATATTTTTTTTAAATTGCTACTTTAGGCCAGAATAGAATGATACAAAATTGGTATCATTAAGTATGTTAGCGAGTTGGGTACTGTATGGGGGTGGATGATAGTGTAAAAGCATCCCCGCATCGGCTTAAGTGGGGAGCCAAGCATTCCTTATAATGTTGTGGATACATCTCCCTACCAAGACCCATTTTAAAAGCAAGAGGCAATAGATAACATAAAAACTCTATAATTAAGTGTGTTAGATGTAAATGGTCCCATGGGTTGTGTGTGCGCCTCAGATGTCACATCATGTGTATAAACTAACATAACGTGTAAAAACTAGTTCCTAAAAAAAAGGTACACATGTGCCTCTCATTCATAGATAACACAATACACGCAAAATGAAATAACTTAAATTTCTAAAAATGTCAGTGGTGGTAATTTATCATCCAAAATCTCATGTTCCATAAAAGAATTACAAAATCTAAGAGATTTAACTGTAATCTATACTATAATTTTCTGCAAACTCAGTGAGACCTAGGATGCTATCCCACTAAATTATTACAAAATTTTCTACATCTTACTGTCTCAGCTGCAATGCTATTACATCAAATTAATCATAAAACTAAACGGAAAAAAAATCGAAATAAAATCTTCTCATGTTCTTGATAAAAGTTTGATAATCAAGATTCAAGACTAACCTTCAGTCTGGTGATCCTCCAGCACTATCAGCTGGAACCCTTCTTCTTCCTCAACCAACACCAGATCATTACCATTTTTTTCATCAAAAAAGGCTGGAACACATGCACTGGAAGCTGCAACCAGTAAGTCGCTTCTATTTTTCCACCAATTTTTAATTACATAGAAAGGGGAAAAGCAAAAAAAGTTATCGACACTTTCTATAGGAGTTTTATTTCTTATTAGTTCTGACTCCATTTTTGAATGATTTTGTACTTTTGACATTTTTTTCCCTTCTGCCTTTAATCTTTCTTGTTCAGCTACATTTTGTGCCGCCTTTTTCTCTGCCTCTGTTTGCTTGCAGTTTTCATCATGGGCTTGATTAAACATTCTCACAAACTTAAGCAAAATTTCAACAACTGAAAACAATATCATAACTTAGAAACTGGAAATCAATTTATTACAAATGAATATTTTATCATGAACGTAAATTGTTTTGATGGATGATTACCTGTTTCATACGAGCATTTTCTAGGGTCTTCTCCAAAGTAAATAATAAAAGCATCAACACTTTTCCCCTGTGTAAAGTGCAGTGTTATAAACTGGGATACTTATAGCAATCTTTATATTTACTGGATTTTGATATGCGTACCACCCCAGAGAAAAGTGAGGCCAAGGACTTCACCTCTTGTTCCCCAGAAGCAAGAAACTTTTTCAGACTGAACATGAAAAACAAAAATTAAACATTTACGGTTAAAGTTAAAATAACAGTCTGCGTCCCGGTCGCTCACAACTAAATCCAACCCAACTTTTATATATATATATATATATATATATATATATATATATATATATATATATATATATAAATGAAGATCAATTTTGCGACATGTTAGTCTTTTATGACTTTTGACACTTGTTATTTTATATTATTTTTGAAACAAAAAATATCCACTTGTGAATTTATGATTTTTTTTTTTTCAATTTTTAAAATCATAAAACCACATAGTAGTTATAGTTATATATGTAAAGTATTAAATATAATGAATTTGATAGTAAATTGCACTAAATACTTTTCTTCCTTCTTTATTTTGAAATTATACTTTAAAAAATACTTATTATTTACAATTTAATATTTTTTATAAATCAACATGTGTAGTACACAGGTCTCACACCTAACGTGTCTCTGTGTGTGTATATATATATATATATATATATATATATATATATATATATATATATATATCAACATTGGTATCATTTTGTAGAGAACATATCATATTTTATTTATTTATTTATTTTATAAATATAAAATCTAACTATTTATTAAGAAAATTTTATAAACAAAATAAATTAAGAGGTAAAATAAGAAAATTGCATGTCATGTTTGGTTGCCAAATAGATGGAATACAATGCGGTCGGACCAATTCCATTCTTTTAATTAAAGGACCAAATAACCTCATTATATTTATATAAAAAGCCATATTTTATGTAAAAATGCAAAATATAATAATTTTTATCATTGAATTTCATTCCATTTCCTACCAACGCATTAAAGACTGTGAATCCTTGCGATTCCAATTCCCTCAAATTCTAAGTCCTTTGACAGGTTCCATTTATGGTTCTTATTAACTTTATGTGCTTACCTTCCGAAATTTTTTAGACACATATCCGTCTCTTTTACACAATTTCTTTTCTTGGACTCCTTTCTCTAGTCCATTTCTAATCGCTGCCATCTCTTCTGCCAAGATTTTTAGTTGTATCTGAAATAAATATATCATTTTAATCAACAATAAAGAAACTAACATAACTTTAATTAGAAGTCACAAAACCTTTGATGCAGGCTCCAAGCTGCCAAGTTCCTTGGAAAAGTCTAGCAGTTCAGGCAGTTTGTCTGCAAGGACCTGACATATACAGCACAGCAGATACCATAAACAAAGTGAAAGAAACACAAACAAATAAATAAATAAAAAGTCTTACCTTACAAAGATAATGCATGAGAGTCATTTTATTGCTCCTGGCACGTGTTTCATTTAATTTTAAAAGGCTGTCCAGTCTGAACCCAGCAGCAGCACCTAAAACAAAAACAATTTTCTCTAACTCCAAATAATATAAAAAAAAAAAAAAAAAAAAAAAAAGAAAGAAAGAAAAAAAACTAGTAGCAGTAACTCACCTCTTGTAGTTCCCTGATTCAAAGCATTTCCAAGAGAAATAATTGTCTGCATGACTCTCCTCAACTTTATAGAACTAATAAGCTGATATAACCACCATCAACATATATAAAAAAAGTAAAATTTAATCCAATCTTTTTGTCACTGAATAACATGCATAATTAAAGTGACAGATAACTAATAACTTGCCTGTTCTACTGATAAATATACAATGCTTAGCTTATCCCTAAGTTCTGTAACCTAAATTTGCAAAAGAACAGTGAAGTTAAAAAACGCTAAATGTAAGAAAGCAGGAAATGCAAAGAATAATATCTACTGACCTGTGTACTAAAATGTAACTTATAAGAGAAAGCTGTGAGCTTAGCTTCTGCACGTGGAACTTTCATTAGCTCAAAGAAGAACTGTTACAAGAAATCAGATATTACAATTTCACATTTCGGTCCCTGAATATATTGGAATAATAATGATATAAATCCAGAAAAATGGTACTATGTACCAGTTCACATTTGCCCAACATTTCATATTCTCCTTGATAGCCCTAAGCATATAAAATGTAAGTTACAGAATGAATAAAAGATAAAAGATGTGGGTGTGTACTGTAATGTAGAATGTAAATACACCTTAAGTAGTTCCATATCCTCCTTTGTAGGACAGAACTTTATAAGGTTATCCACCTGATCAACATCCATTGCTAATTCATCGAAATTAAGGACATGTTCCTGTTAAGTTTCACAACTAAAGGATTAAAAACAATTATCAGAAAACCTAATTTGTGATTAAATGCAGCTTACCATCAATTCAGGCAATGGTGTCTTCACCTTTGAAAGCATTACTTCACAGTAATATGCTCGCCTATGCTCAATCTGCAACAAGTGTGAAATATGAACAAATCTTCTATACAAAGATGTGTGAAGTCAACCATAAGTACAGTTAAATATTTTGTATGCAATAAACAAGGAAAATAAATTATTACCAGTTGTACTTTTTCAGGTTCATTAGCTGCTTTGGATTTTGCTTTTGATGCCTTGTCAGTTTGGATTTGATGCTAAGAAGAGTGTTTCAAGTTCTGACATATCAATCTCTGGTGCCCTAAAAAGAAAATCATGGAAGCAAAACTTAGTAGGATATCAATGTGATATGTCAAAAAAAAAAAAGACCCACTTTGCAGCTTCACCAGATTTTTCTGCTTCAGCCCACAAGCTTCCTTGTCATACTCTATTTATTTTTGCCCAATGTAAAGGCTTCAGCTTTTTTCCTGGTTGAGTTTTCACAGCAGTTGTCCTTGATAAAACAGGCGGTTAATTTATAGGAGGTGGTGGAGATGGAGCAGTTACACCGCCTCCTTTTGAAGCTGGTGGTGGAGGTGGTGGACCTGTACCGCCTTCTTTGGTTCCGTTAACTGGAGGTGTAGACAAATCGACTACAATAAATAATCGATAACTTCAAGATCGAAGTATAAAACCCAAATATCACGATAGCGATTCAACGGAATATAAAACTATTTGAATAATCAACCAAGAATAAATCGAACGATAAAAAGAAAAAAACACGCGATATTTACGTGGAAACCCAAATCGGGAAAAACCACGGGCGGAGGAAGCCGAGAACCAATTTACTATAATATCCAGTGTTTACAGAGATAGAGGAAAGAAAAAACAAATATATCAAATATATATTTGTATGAATATGAGAGAAAAATGAAGATGTAATTTGAGATGTGGTGTTTTTAATAAGCTTGGTTTCATTTCTTTTTATAGGCAAATGAATGTATGAATTCAATTGTCTATTACCATCCAAGCTTGACAAACATGCTACCATCCATTCTTGACAAACATGCTACCACCCATTCTTGACAAATTAAAATCACATGTGTAGAATGGTATTCTAGAAATCATCCAATGTTGAAGTTTGAAGGAAACTTCCACAATCTCCACCTTGACTTCAAATGAGACAGGATGAAAAAACTTTAACTTGCACAATGATCATGCAAAACAGTTTATCAACAGCTCATCATACTCCAAATCTCTATAAGAATCTGCAAACACCATATGAGAAAAATTGATTTCGAAAAGTAAATATACTTCCTCCACCACGAGCCTATCAGGCTCAAATGCGATCTGAAACACCCACCAAATCCAAACATGCTTTGAATTTGGCTATTGGAAGACTTTTAGTGAACATATCAGCAGGTATCATTGGTGCTGATCTTGTTTACTGTAATATCGCCTTTAGCAATAACATCTCTGATGAAGTGATAACGAACATCAATATGCTTCGTTCGATCATGGAACATTTGATCCTTCGTCAGAAATATTGCACTTTTATTGTCACAAAAAACAGTGTTAACAGATAACTTGTTTGAAAGCTCACCTATCAACCGTTTCAACCAGAGGGCTTCCTTCACTGCTTCCGTAGCAGCCATGTATTCGGCTTCAGTGGTGGATAACGCTACAGTAGATTGTAACTGCGCTTTCCAGCTAACTGCGCAATCACCTAAAGTAAACACGTACCCTGTAATCGATCGTCTTTTATCCAAGTCCTTTGCATAATCGGAATCCACATAACCAAGTACTCCATTATCGGTTTTTCCAAACCGCAGACATAAAGAGGAAGTACCTCGCAAGTAGCGAAAAATCCATTTAACAGCAACCCAATGCTCCTTTCCTGGATTCGTCATGTATCTGCTCACCATGCTTACCGCATATGACAAATCTGGACGTGTACAAATCATAGCATACATAAGAGATCCTACAGCGCTGGAGTATGGTACCTTTGCCATGTATGCTATATCTTCTTCGGTGGTAGGACTTAAGGCGGATGATAGCTTGAAGTGGGCTGCGAAAGGAGTGCTGACTTCTTTTGCGTCATGCATATTGAAACGGTGCAGAACCTTCTTAATGTAGCTTTGTTGAGAAAGGTATAGAGTTCTTGCACTACGGTCTCGCACTATTTCCATTCCTAGAATTTTCTTGGCAGCACCCAAGTCCTTCATATCGAACTCAGCATTCAACTGGTCTTTTATCTTTTGAATCTCCTTATATATTCTTCGCTGCAATTAACATGTCATCCACGTATAAAAGTAGATAGACCATTGAACCATCGTCACACTTTTTGTAGTAAACGCAGCTGTCGTAGGTGCACCTTTTCAGCTTGTGACTGGTCATAAATGAGTCAAACCTTTTTCTTCAATTTGCAACACGTAGCTTTCCTTGCCAGGAGCTACAAAACCTTCAGGTTGTTGCCTATATACTCTTCCTCAAGCACCCATTTAAGAATGTTGTAGTAACATCAAGTTGCTCTAATTCATAGTCATGAGAGGCAACGCAATCCCAACAAGACACGTATTGACGTGTGTTTCACAACCGGAGAGAAGAAGTCCGGTATAATCGATACCTGGGATTTGACTGTAGCCTTTGGCTACCAAACGAGCTTTATATCTTGGTTTGTCACCAGGGTGGATAGCCCCCTTCAACTTGTAGACCCATTTGCACTTAACTGTCTTCTTACCCTTTGGAGCTGGAACGAGATCCCATGTGCCATTTTTCTAAAGAGATTCCATCTCCTCGTACATGGCAACCATCACTTATTAAATGTTTGGATTTGAATGGCCTCGTTGTAGCTTGTGGGCTCCAGAACAGACTCAACTTCTTTGGCAACTGTAAGTGCATAAGCGACAGAATTGGCTTGAACATATCTCTTTGGAGGTACAATCTGTCTGCGAGGTCTATCTCTTGCAATGGAGGGACTGTGAGGTTGGCTTGGAGCTTCGGCTGGCTCATGAGAAGAGGAATGTTGATTATTCGAGGGTTGAGAAACCTCGACACACCTTCATGAGACTGGTCCTCAAAAGATGAATTAAAGGAAACTCCACTCCACTCGAACTTTGTCTTTTTCCAAATTTCATTTTCTCTGGTCTGAATGTTGGAGACAGGATGAAGCATGGCTTTTTCATCGAAGGTCACATCTTTAGATGTCAAAAACCTTGCTTAGCTCCGGCTCCATAATTTGAACCCTTTAACACCTGTCGGATATCCGAGAAAGAGACGCATTTAATTGCCCTCGGTTCCAATTTACCGTATCACTCGGGCATATGCGGGACATCCAAATGGAATCAATTTCGTGTAATCAGCAGTTGGCCGGACCAAGCTCAAATGGGGTCTCTTTTGAATAGCACGAGAAGGGGAACAGTTGATAATGACATGCGGTTGAAGGCGGCCTCGGCCCAAAAAGACTTCGGCAACTTCGAATGAGATAACATGCATCGGACCTTCTCCATGATGGTGCGGTTCATACGTTCCGCTACGCCGTTCTGCTGTGGTGTATGAACTACGCTGCGATGCCTCGTAATTCCTTCCCTACGGCAATAGGAGTTGAATTCTTCAGAACAAAATTCCAGTCCATTATCAGTACGAAGGTATTTCACTTCAAAACCTGATTGCTTTTCAACCAATACTTTCCAATCTCTAAAAGTTTGGAATACTTCTCCCTTTGACTTCAAGAAGAACGACCATACCTTTCTTGAGAAATCGTCAATGATCGTGAGCATATAAGAGGCTCCACCTTTCGATTTAACCTTCGCTGGTCCCCATAAATCAGAGTGTATGTAGTCAAAGTGGCCCTTTCGTCTATGTTTGCCACCGATAAAACTCACTCGCTTCTGCTTTCCAAATACACAATCTTCACAGAATTCAAGTTCGATTGATTTAGCAACCCCCTTCGACTTAGTTCATTCATACCATGGTATGACATGTGAGCGAGCCTGAGGTGCCATAGACGAGAGCGATCAACGTTGGAGAGGGATTTAGAACATACCGAGACTTCGCCGGAGATAACTTGCCCATCCATAATGTAAAGGTTTGCGGATTTCTACTCCTAGGATGACCACATAACCTTCCTTGAAAATATGGAGTTTCCCGTCTTTGCCAACAAACTCGTAACCTTTCTTCTTCGAAAGTACCGAGACTTAGTAAATTTCGCCTAAGACCGGATACGTGCTTCACATCTTGAATCATTCGAACAACGCCATCGAACATGCGGAACCTGAGTGTACCCCGTCCAATAATACGACACGAAGTGTCGTTACCCATTAGAACGTGCCTTCGTTAACCTTTTCATATGAATGAAAAACGCTTCGGTTGGAGCTCATATGAAAAGTACACGCTGAATCAAGTACCCCACTCACTCGTGGTCATTAAACCGTAGTCTGAAACGAAGATAGAAGCTCGCCATCGGAACTAGTTTCGGCAACATCGGCTTCAAACGGTGTTATTGGTTGTTTTTTTCCCTTTGCGATTGCCTTTGCTTTCTCCTTGTTCTTTAACTTGAAACATTCATCGATCAGATGTCCCTTCTTGTGGCAATAATTGCAATACTTGCGATTGGCTTTGGACTTAGATCTAGATCGGTTTTGTGAAGAGCTACCTCTCTCGTTAGGTCTCCCTCTGATGTTGAGACCTTCGGCTTTAGAATCGCTGCTACTGTTCCCAACTATCTGCTTCATCTTTTCCTTTGAATCAAGAGCAGTCATTACCTCGTCAAGGACAAGAGTGTCCCGAGAATAAATAATGGTGGTCACGAAAGTGATCGTAGGAGTCTGGGAGAGAAGATAATAAAAAAACGCCAAGTCTTCATCTTCGTATTTGACGTCCATATTCTCCAGATTTCCTACAAGCTCTTTAAAGGTAGAGAGGTGATCAGACAAAGAACTACCTTCACCCATCTTTAGGTAAAAAGTCGTTGCTTCAAGTGTAGCTTGTTGGGCAAGCTTTTCGTCATAAGTAGCTGCTCGAGTTTTAGCCAGAGAGCCGCTGCGGATGTCTCTTTCAACACAACATCTTGGAGAACGTCGTTAGAAGATGCAGACGGATCTGCGACGACGCCTTCAGATCTTTCATCTCCTTTTCCTCAGTCGACCAAGTTGCCGGAATTTTCTCCATTCCTAATAGTGCTTTGTGGAGATCCATTTGGATCAACACAATCTTTCATCTTTACTTGCCAGAGAGGGAATCTTGTGTTTCTGTCAGTAAAGGAATATCGTACTTCATCGATGACATGGTGAAAATAGTTTTTTTACGAATCGTTATCGGAAAACCCGGATAGCTCTGATACCAATTGTAGACAAATCGACTACAATAAATAATCGATAACTTCAAGATCGAAGTATAAAACCCAAATATCACGATAGCGATTCAACGGAATATAAAACTATTTGAATAATCAACCAAGAATAAATCGAACGATAAAAAGAAAAAAACACGCGATATTTACGTGGAAACCCAAATCGGGAAAAACCACGGGCGGAGGAAGCCGAGAACCAATTTACTATAATATCCAGTGTTTACAGAGATAGAGGAAAGAAAAAAACAAATATATCAAATATATATTTGTATGAATATGAGAGAAAAATGAAGATGTAATTTGAGGTGTGGTGTTTTTAATAAGCTTGGTTTCATTTCCTTTTATAGGCAAATGAATGTATGAATTCAATTGTCTATTACCATCCAAGCTTGACAAACATGCTACCATCCATTCTTGACAAACATGCTACCACCCATTCTTGACAAATTAAAACCACATGTGTAGAATGGTATTCTAGAAATCATCCAATGTTGAAGTTTGAAGGAAACTTCCACAGGAGGAGGCAGTGGTGGTGAACCTGATTTATGTGGTGCTTTATGTGGTGCTGGTGATGGTTTAGGTATTCGCGGTGGTGGTGGAGAAGGTCCTCCTCCTCCACAACCACGAGGAGGTTGTGGAGGACAAAGAAAATCGGCACTGCTAAACATATCTTGGACTTTACCAAATGCGTCTGCTGGGATCCCCGCATCTTCAAAACTAGACAAATCTACTGGGACCTTAGAAGCTTCTGGATCCATTTTCGGAGAAAAGAAGCTTCATCCAACAAAAATCACACACACACACACACACACACATATATATAGATATATATATATATATATATATATATATATATATATATATATATATATATATATATATATTGCACAAGTATGCATGAAAAGAAATATGAAAGGTTTGTTTTGGGATATTTGCTAGAAAAAAAAGGTTAATGAAATTATTTTTGATGTTTAGCGCACTATTGAATACAACTTTAGTGACTTACTGAAAAGATTTCAGATTGTTTGTTACCCATTGATCTCATTAATACTAAAAAATAATATGACCAGTGACTAGGAATAATGTGAAGAAAAGTACCTCAGCTTTGAACTCCCTAGGAAATTGATGCTTTTTATCCCAAGATATGTCGACTTCCTCACGACTCAGTATCAAAGTATTCGATTTGATGAATGCTGTGTTGAACATGGCACGATACATAATCGTCTCCTTCACCAGATCATCATTTAAGTTAATACACTCCAACAGAATGTCGCCTTGAATATTGCAATTAATATCAATTTTAACGAGCTCATTTTCTGCCTGAAATGCAACGAAATAATAATCTATCAGAATAAGAAACTTAAACCTAGAAACATTATAGTGATATAACCTACCTGATTGTAAGACCGGACATTCTTACTCCTTCATGGGGTTGAGAATAAAAGTTTACGGGTTTTATCAATTTGTAACAACGGATCGCGTCCATAAATTCTAAATACAGGGCAACAACCTCCTTTTCCATCAAAATCAGGAATCATTCTGATTATCACACAATCTATTTTAAGTGCCTTGTCTGGTGGAGGCCAATGTTGTTCATCAGCATTCCTCTTTGACACATACTGTAAGTACCTCAACTGAGAAGCTGTAGGATCATATGGTGTCAACAGGGGTAACTTCCCATATGGGGCCTGTTTCAGAACCATCTCAAGGGCCCTACTTTCAGAAGTGAAATGTTTTCTGTCAAGTAAAAGAGCAGCCAACAGGAAAGCCAACACGGGCCAACAACCAAGCTCACTGTGCATTAGAAGAACGTTTTGTTGTCCAAGTGTGAGCCAGCTTTCGCTTGATTTAAGAAAATGGTGGATTATCTCTATTGGTACCAATGGGCAACCTTCATAGTCCCGAGGGTAGTCCATTATGGTAAGATAGTGTTCTGATAAAAGTTGGTGGAGTTTGTTTGTTGTATCTGCTTCTCGGAAATTCACAATCATGGGTGAAGATTCAGGGTTGATTTCTTTAAATTGAGTAATGATTCTGCCCACGTAACCTTTATATTCTTCTAGTTCCCAGGCTTCCATTCTGAAACAGGAGTCAAAGACTATACACCAAATGGGCGTGTCATCAAATCAAACAGAAACCAAGTTCTAATCTTGAATATATTCAAACTTACAAAGAAATTTAAGACACATTACAAACACTTAGTATACACATGATGCTTGCCTCTATATCTACTAGAAATTGTCGTAAGTTTAAGTACAAAACCCTTATAATAGGAGAGATGATGACCTTGAGAAGATTTCAGACCAGTTTCAGTTACAAATTTGTCCAATAATTACACTTCAATATAATACCACAAGTTCATAGTCCGACACTAGTTTGTGTTGGAAATGTAATCTAGACTTAGGGTTATTTTAGTATTTTTGAAAAGTAATTATTGCAGTTAGGAAGTCAGTTATAGTTAGGAAGGAAGTTGAAGTTAGGAACCGTTATATTGGTCAAAAGTCACAATGGTTCACTAAACATTGTGATGATTAGTACGTATATATATGTGTATGAATTGTATTTGTAAATGTAACTGATGCTTGATCAATAAAGGCTATATTTAGTGCACATATAAACATCTCTCTTCTCTGATACGTAATGTTCATGTTATTGCTTTAATTCAATGTTTCTTGGGGTTAATTCCAACAAAGTGGTATCAGAGCAAGGTTCCAGATTTAAAGGATTATGCAGGAAACAGGAAGAAATATCAGAGGGGGAGAGGGAGAAAAGACAAGAAAAATCACTGAAGAAAAGAGGTGATCAAATGGATGAAGTTTGGATTGATGACCGGGTTGAAAAGATCTCGGTAATGTTAAAGTTTATTTTTGATGTTAGTGATTGTATGATTCTTGATCCAGATGAAAAGATTCTGGGCAAGTTTTTCTGTGATATGATGATTGATGATGAAGATTTAGTGGATGATTGTGTGAATGTCTCTGATGAAAAGATTCTGGATGATGAGTTTTATCCTACAGATGGTTTTGAGGGTTTCTAAATGAAACCAAATGAACATGATGATGAGTTTTATCCTACTTTCTCTGGGTTTGCGGTTAGTTTTGTGAAGGATATCAAGTATATGCTTGAGGAAGAAAAGATGATTATGGAACCTATGGAAAACACAACAGTTTCTTTTCTTGAACTAGCAACAAAAGATGAGAAGGAAGATGGTCTTCTACTACGTATGTTGACAGTGGAAATTCATACCACAAGACACAAGCAGATGATGACCGGCAACAAAAAACTAAGAAAGATGATGGGAGAAGTGAAATTCCAGAAATACCCCTCTTGGTAAAAGTCTAAGATTAAGGGGGAATGTTGGAAATGTAATCTAGACTTAGGGTTATTTTAGTATTTTTGAAAAGTAATTATTGCAGTTAGGAAGTCAGTTATAGTTAGAAGGAAGTTGAAGTTAGGAACCGTTATATTGGTCAAAAGTCACAATGGTTCACTAAACATTGTGATGATTAGTACGTATATATATGTGTATGAATTGTATTTGTAAATGTAACTGATGCTTGATCAATAAAGGCTATATTTAGTGCACATATAAACATCTCTTTTCTCTGATACGTAATGTTCATGTTATTGCTTTAATTCAATGTTTCTTGGGGTTAATTCCAAGAGTTTGAAGAGTAAAGCTGAACGATAAATAATTAATATTCATACAATTTTTTGTCCGGGAATTCAACTACCTAACGCATCAAACTCCCAAATTAGTAGTAGCATAGAAAACTAGATAAGAAAAATGTAAGGAATTTTTTTAACAGAAAAGGTAATCGTATTACATACCTAATTACATACACATATCAAACTAATTACTTACTCCATAGAAGGGTAAATAATTACCGTATATTCTTTCAAAGACATCGACAATTCCATCGGGTATCTTTTTATTCCGAAACAGCACCATTCTAATTCACTGATTTCTGAAACTCTAGAACAATTTTGATAATTTCCCCAGGCACGAAGGAATTGTTTGCTTCCCACTTCAGAGAGAGTGGACGTAAAAATAATAATCGACCTTGTAACTCGTAACAACTAACAACCTTTTAGTTAGGTGCCGATATCTTAGGAGGTCAGAGTTGTGGGAATCCGTTTGAAAATTCCGAACTTCTGGGTATGGATCAGGTACAAAACGAAGACAACAAAAGTTAGACTAATTTGACAAAATCATGAAGACCATTCCTGTAATTTACTCAAATATTTGTAATTTACTCAAATATTTCTATAAACATGACATCATCTTTAGGCTACCTGGTATGGTGAGAATCTAAGTGGCAACCAAAACCCACACACGAACTTTGGAGTAAATTTGACCATTGTTGAATGAACTTTGGACATTAAGAAAATAATAATTTTTAAAATTTAAACCAAACCACACACACACATATATATATATATATATATATATATATATATATATATATATATATATATATATATAGAGAGAGAGAGAGAGAGAGAGAGAGATGTAGGTTCAAATGTGGATGAAGTAGAGATTAATATGGGTCAAGTATTATTTAATTTTAACAAATAATTAATTAAATCATCTACCCTTTAATTTCGGCAAATTATTTTATTTAAAACCTTATTGCCTCTTCAATCGACACCCACACAATCTTATCCGTCCCGTTTTCTTTGACCTTCGGCCCCCATCAGACGACCTTCACACCGTCGCCGGTCGCCGTAAATCGAAGGCCCCGTCAACCATACCATGCCTCTTAGAAAACCTTCTTCGATCTCGCTTCACAATATCTGGGATCACACAGCCGACATCGATCCATCGCTAATCAGACATCACCATCGCCAGTCCACCACGGGACCTTGATAAGCCGCCGCCGTTGATTTGCCAATGCACCTGAGAAACGTCGTCGGCAAGATGATGTTGAACAACAAAGCTAAAAGGTTTTTTCCTAAAATCATTCTTTACCTTTTTCAATCCTAGTCTGTCGTCGGCTTGTTGTTAAAGGCCCTGTATAAATCAATGAATCAGGTACCAGGAACTCCATAGTCCATCCATACAAATACAAAATCATCATAGATAGGGCCTCCTCCTCCGCCTGCTCTTTGAAATTTTGTACGTTAATTCAATTGTATTCCTGTTTCTTAATTCTATTCTCATGTTTCTTAATTCTATTCTCTTGATGCCTTTATTTTACTTCCACTTGCTGTTGGTTTTGCAGCTTAGTTTTTGGCTTCTTAATGTGAAAAAAACACTAACTTTTTCACCTTTGAAAGTCATTTGGGGTGTATCTTTAACTTCATAGCTCTCGAGTTTCTTAAGAGGAGAATATAAAACCAATAAAAAAGATAATCTGTTTTTTAAAAGAAAACGAGAAATGTATGTTAAGAGTGGTCTAATGTTTCCTTAAGAACTTCTCAACTGATGCTCAACAGTTTTGATGATTTCTGTCACTCACATAAGTCTATTATTTGCTTGATAATTCCATTTTCGGTCTTCTTTTTCTCTCTATTAATCATACTCTGTTAAATCTTCTATTCTTTCAATCATCTAGAATGTTGTATTTAATTATGTCTTATATTGTCGTTTAACATGGCTGAGACTTGCCTAGATGAAAATTTCATCTGGTACCATGTTTTATTTTAGCCGGTTCCTTTTTTCAACAATTAACATAACAAATTAATGTTCTTATTGCCAATCTTGTATAATGGACGTGACAATTATGTATGATATACTGAATTAGGTTGGGCTGTATTTTATTTGGTCTACAAGTTTAATGAGTAAAATCTTCTAAGTGCTTATTATTATATTTATAGAACTTTATACGAATCATAAATATGAATTCAAGATTGATCCTTTAATCTTGAATGGATGTTAATTGTTAAACTGTTTGATATTTCTTTTCAAAATTTTAGGTGTGAGATTGACATGTTCACAAGGTGAGAGATCGACGGTGTCGCAATTACATAAGCAAGAACAAACAGAAGAATTGCATTCTTTTGTTACAACATTCTCTCAAGAATAAGAATGTTGCTCCATTCTTAAAGAATACTTGCCAATTCTTAAAGAATAGTTCTCTATTCTTAAACAATATTGGTCCATTGGTCCATTTATGACATGTTTAATTTTAGCAAAAACTACATCTCCATGGTAATAAGTTAATGTTTTTATTTAAGATATCTAGTTCCAGCTGATTTGACCATTGGTCAATTTGTGTATGTTGTTCCAGCTGATTTTTCCAATGGTGGATGAAATATAACAACATGAAACAAGAATGAGAATGAAGATTCTTTCATGAACGACATTGTACTCTTATAGAATGAAGATTTTTTCAAGAATGACTCACTATGAAGCTTGTATTCTAATAGAATGTGGCAAAATTCAAAAAATAACATTGTATTTTTATAGAATGTGACAGTAAAAATTATTTTTTTGTTTATTTTTGGACCTTAGATTCTTCAATAATGTTAATAATATATGATTATTCTTTAAGAATTTGTTATTCTTCAACTCATGGTTCAAAAATTTGTTATTCTTCAAAATGTTCATTCAATCAGAATATGTATTCTGTCAGAATTTGTATTCAATCAGAATACATATTCTATTAGAATATGTATTTTAAACTCTTGGTCCATATTCAACCCTACATCCACACAATACTTATCATCCACATTATAACCTAACCCTATATATATATATATATATATATATATATATTATATATATATATATATATATATATATATATATATATATATATCTATATATATAGGTAGGTATTTTGTTTTTACTAACTATTATGTGCCAGAATATACTGGACCAACGGATGAAATAAATCAATAGACATGATTTGAAAGTGTATGATATTACAATGGGATAACATGTACCATATAATCACATAAATTTTGGCAAAAGGGTATTTTGGACAATTAACTACATTTATAAAAGGAAATTTTTAGATTTTTAGGGATAATTAATTCTCCTAATTTTAAAAATCTATTTTTTTTAATTAATTTATTTTTAATTCTAACATAATTTGTAAACATAATCGATTTATTCTGTCAGAATAATTTTTTTAGAATGATGTTCTTTCATAATTTTATTCTATTAGAATATTATTGAGGAATAACAAAATTCTTGAATGCAATGTTGAAAAATAACAAAATTCTAATATATTCTTATAGATTCGAACTTAAATACAAACTCATACATATTTTTACAGACTAAAAACCTTATACATTTTAATATAATAATACACATTCTAACAGAATATCAACAAAAATAAATAAAATTCTTAAAAAATAACAACATTCTTAAATTGTGAGTATGATCAAACTTTATTCATTCTTCAAGTTATTCCTATTAGGTCTTCAACGCATTCTTCCAGCCATTCCTATCACAAATACAACAAAATGGTTAAAAACATGTTACTTACAATTAACTATCACATTAGAATACATAGAATATGACAGAATACATAAAATACATTCTAGCAGAGTACATAAATTTTATTCTGGCAGAATACATTCTGAGAGAATACATAGAATACATTCAAAAGTATCGTATTTACTGCTAATATAATTTTAGATTCCAAATATACAATAACGAGGGACAATAGAAATTGGAATTCAAAATCACAAACTGAACCAAAATAATACAAAAACAAATTAATTACCTTTTTAAACAATTACATAAAACATGTGTTGCAAGTAATTCTGACAGAATGCATGCCACAAGGTTAAATTCTTTAGATTCTCTTTCAGGCATTTCAACAAACACTTGTTAGGCATTATCATCAAACAAGCTAAATTTAGAACAATGAAGTATCAAGAACAAATGGAAAATCAACAACAATCAAGTATCAGAACGAATAGAAAATCAACAACAATCTACCATACAAAAAATCGAAATCCTTCATGAAACGTGATAGGAGAAGGCGCTTAAGTAGATGAATTTGAGAAGAATTTATAACAAAAACATATTTTCTGAATTAATTCCGGTTTTAACATAGAAACATAGACTTACCGCTGATG